GTGGGTGTGGGTGTGTGTGTGTCTGAAGAAGCCGCTAAGGCAAGGGTCTTCACGGACGGAGGGTCGGAGAGGAAGGGGACTTGGGTCCGCCGTCTGGCCTAGGGTCCCACCGCTCGCGTTACCGTCTGCGGCGCTGTAACAGCCCAGCGCGACCGACCGACTCTGCAAGCTTCCCAGGACCGCGCAGGAGTCACAGGGCTGTCTGTACACGCCACATTAAGCAGCTCTCTCGAGACTCGCGCCCCGGAACACCAACAAGAAACAGGAATCCGGGGCTAAACCCCCAAGAAGCCCTCGCACAGGAAATTTCAAACGATCCCTAAGCCGCACCCTCCCCGGAACCGGAAGTTTTGCCACCAGCGCCACTTGTCCCCCCCCCCCATTTANCCCCCCCCATTTATAAGGGGCGGGGCAGCAGCGGGAACTGCAACTCCCAGAATGCAGCGCGGGGCTTCCTGTTTCCGGCGAGAGGACCGGAGTGAGTGCTTAGCCCGGCAGCTCTGCGGCCGGGTTCTTTCCGCGGGACGGGTGAGGGCGCTGGGCCCCGGGCCGCGTGGGCTCGATGTGTATTGACAAGTTAGCTGGTTCCGTAGGAGCGGTAGGGTCGCCGCCAAAGAGATAGTTGTCCTCCCTACTACTAGCTATGTGTGACCGTGTGCCAGTGACTTTCTGGGTCTTTGTTGCCGGGTTTGTAATATGTGGACGATAATGTCTCCTCAGGGAACGATTGTGAGGATTAAATGAGATACGGTATGTAAAAAAAACCTGTTCCCTCTCCTGTCATGAATCTGGAGATGGGAGGTACCCTGAGGATGGCTTGGGGCCTGTTGAGCAGCCTGCCAACCTCACAACCTTTTCTAGCCTCGTCCCTACTAGCGGCCACTTTGGAAGCAATAGTGATTGTAACAAGGGCTTTTCTGGCCTCACAAGGTTATTCTACCCTCAGAATTTCTGCTTCATTTTTTGGGCACCTATATGTGCCAGGCACTGGGGCAGTAAAGGAAAAAAATTCTAGTCTCTGCTTTCAAGGTCCTCCAAGAATGGGTTAGGGGAGGGGGGAGATTGGAAAGTAGATATTTGTAACTCTGCCTTGAAGGAATGTGGGGACAACAGGAAAGGGAGAGGGAACAGATGAGGTGGTATTTTGGTTGGTCTTGGTAGGAGTTTGCTGTTTTGCTGAGAGGCCAAAGAGGAGAGGAATTACAAGCCGAGTTAGATGAGCGGAGGTGTAAAGCGGGGGAGCTTTGTTTTGAATGGAGGCTTGGTGGGGGTGGGACAGGTTTTGTTGGCAGGAAGGCCGGCAGAGGGAAGATATAAATGTTTTTGTAAGCCAGGCTGTGGAGTTTAGACTTATTCATAGAGGTGGTTTAGAGTTATTGGAGTTCCACTCAGAGGAGTAACTTGATCAGATCTGTGTTTTTACCTGAGTTGGGTGGCAGCATTGATGTTTGATAGGGAGAGGCAAGAGTCAGGGAACTTGTTATAAATCTCTTGTAATAGTTCAAGCAAGAGGTGTGAAGAAAATCAGAAATGAGGAATGTACATAAGGGAAATGGTTGGATGATCTCATTTGAACCTCACAACATTACTATTAGGTGGGCTGGTGTTTTTATGTCTACTTTAAAGATAGAGAAACTGAGGCCTAGAGGGCTGAAGTTCCATGCTGGCCATCATAGAATGAGTAAAGAGAGGACCCCAGATTCTAGTTCTGGCTTGATGCTGCATCCTGTGCTTTTCCAGCAGTGTCACACTGAATTGTCTCTCAGCCTCTTGGTGGGGTGTGGGTGGAGTAGGATGGTGGTCTGTCCTTTAACCACAAAGGGCTCATTTCCTTTACAGGGAGAAAGAGAGAGCGTGAAAGAGAGAGGATGTCTCTCTCAGATTGGCACCTGGCGGTGAAACTGGCTGACCAGCCACTTGCCCCAAAGTCTATTCTTCGGTTGCCAGAGACAGAGCTGGGAGAATACTCACTGGGGAGCTATAGTATTTCATTTCTGAAGCAGCTCATTGCTGGCAAACTCCAGGAGTCAGTTCCAGACCCTGAGCTGATTGGTGAGTCTCTGTGAACTAGGGATGGGCTGTTCCTCTGGCCTCTTTTGGGGGAGGATACTTCTGGGATTACTAGGGTAAATTAAGAATTTGGGATTAGCTGCCTCCTAATATTAACACTCCAGGGAAGTGAGTTTTGGGTGAAAAGAAACACAAATCAAATAATGAAGCTATTGATTGTCATTTTAGTTGTGTATTATACTGAACTACTTTATCACAAATTCCTTAACTATGATGTTGAATTCTTTCTGTGAAAGAGCAAGAATTTGTGGTGGAATAGGGAAGGAGGAGCTGGTCAGGGAAAGCCCTCCAGTATGTGGCATTTTGAGGTTGGTCCTAAGGGATGATGAAAAGGATTTTTGTTTGGTTAGTTAGAGAGAAGGCAGTAAAAAAGGAAAGGAAGATGGCAAGGATATTCTAGGTGGAGGAAGAAGGAATTAAATATAACAACTAAATTATATTATAAAGGTAATTTGTAATAGCTAAGGGATCCAACTGGCAAAATGTGTGTTTTCAGTCATAAAAACACTGGATTCCTCTTTTTTGATTGTTGCATTTGCCCATTCATTTAAGTTGAGCAGTCTCCACAATGTTAAGCTCTAGAGTTTTCTTGTACATAGATCCTGTATTTATTTTATGAGTTTGTGCTTGCTAACAATTGTTATTAAAATGTATTTATTAAGTAAGACTACTTTGTAAGCCTATATCATTCTCCAGTTATTTGTCTAATCAAAATAAGGTTCCTAGGAGACAGAAACCATCTAAATGGTTTTAAGGAGCAAAGTATAAATGGACAGTTCTTTTTTTTTTAGATCTGATCTACTGTGGCCGAAAGCTAAAAGATGACCAGACCCTTGACTTCTATGGTATTCAACCTGGGTCCACAGTCCATGTTCTGCGAAAGTCTTGGCCAGAGCCTGATCAGAAACCAGGTGAGTAATAGTTGGCCCTTAGTCAGACAGGCAGATCTTCAGTAGTATCAAGGGAAGAAGGGTCTGTGAGTTTTTGAGGCACAGGCCTGGGTGGATGGAACAAAGGAGTGATTTACTGAAGTGATAATAGAGGCTGTCTTTATTATCTATTGGGCTAGACCACAGTGATAAAGTGCAGGTTGGGTTTTTTTTGTGTTTGTTTTTTTTTTGTTTTAAAAATATATCTTTATTGATTTCAGAGGGAGGAAGGGAGAGAGAGAGAGATAGAAACATCAATGATGAGAGAGGGTCATTGATTGGCTGGCTCCTGCACACCCCCAATTAGGGATCAAGCCTGCAACCTGGGCATGTGCCCTGACCAGGAACTGAACCATGATCTCCTGGATCCTAGGTTGATGCTTAACCACTGAGCCACACCCAGCTGGGCCAAAGTGCAGTTTTGATCTTGTGGCCAACACCACTAACAAATGGGGATTTCTCTACTTTTTAAGTTCATTATCCACTGTTTTAATGGGGTGGGAAGTATGTGTCTATTTAAACTCCTTTAGGTTAACACTTTATTTCTCAGTGAACTTTGTATCTTTTTGTTATTGTTCATATGAGAAAATAGCTGGGGCCCTGGTTGGGTAGTTCAGTTGGTTAGTGTTGTCCCAGTATGTCAAGGTTACGGTTTCAATCCCTGGTCAGGGCACATACAAGAATCAACCAAGGAATACATAAATACGTGGAACAACAAATCGATGTTTCTCTTCCCCTCAAATCAATAAGTAAAAAAGAAAAGCCCGGCTGGGCATGGCTCAGCGGTTGAACGTCGACCTAGGATCCAGGTGATCAGGGTTCGATTCCTGGTCAGGGCACATGCCCGGGTTGCAGGCTCGATCATTGATGTTTCTGTCTCTCTCTCCCTCTCCTTTCCTCTCTGAAATCAATAAAGATATATTAAAAAAAAAAAAAAGCTGGGGACTCCTTGCATTCCTCTAATGCAGCTACTTTCAACCAGTGTGCCACAAGAATTTTTAAAATATGCAGTACCTGACTATTTAGTTAGGGGCACTGACCTATTTTCCCTTAGATTGTGAAATAAGAAAAATGACAACAGCCAACACAACAGCCATCTGGTGTGAATGAATCACAATTACACAGGGGTGGGCAAAAGTAGGTTTACAGTTCATGTGGAAAAATATATAATGCAAGAATAAATAATAAGACAAAAAGTAAACTGTTTTGTGTACTCACAACTGCAAACCTACTTTTGCCCATCCCTTTGCCTTTTTTTGTGTGTGTATCAGATCAGCAAAAAATATAGTATATTTTTTGGTGTGCTGCAGAATTTTAGGAATTAGTTTATGTGTGCCATGAGATGAAAAGGGTTGAAAATCGCTGCTCCAATGCCGTAGTTTGTTCTCCTGTAGCCAATCTTCCAGCAAACTGCCTCAGGCAGTGACTTGTTCAGTCAGCTCACTTCTTCCTGCTATAGTGGTAATTTATTTTTCTGAAACTTGAAAATATTCGAGCAGTATTTAAGTAGCTCCTGGAGAAAACATACAAAACCTCTAATGCCTTTTGGATTTATTAATAAAAGGTGCTACTTGGAACTTATAATTTAAATTTTACATCTGTGTTTTAAAAGCTAATCTATATAAACTGTTAAACTGACAGTTTGACATTTTTATAATGTTCATGATTGCTATGACTGGTTATCAGCTTGAAATTTACCCTCTTTTCAATTCCACACATAAAGGAGAAAGATATTTTGTACACTGATGGGAGGTGAGAAAGAGAAAGGCAGTCTTCGATATCCAGAGGTTGGCCTGGCCCTCAGCTAGGCCTTGGAACATTAACCATTTCATAGATCACCAACATTTACAAGGCCACTCAGAGACTAGTGGATCAAGACAAAAACAAGAGCCCTCTCATTTACCTGAACATTGTCCCACCACAAAATCACAAAATATCCCTGTGTTGTGGCTATTATGAGTGACTGCTGCTTCTTTCCAAGTATACTTTTTGCCTTGCTCTAGTTTTCCTTCTAGGTAAGAATTATTAAGATACCCAATCATAAAATCACCCCCACTTCTTGACAGCATCCAGTCCAAAGCAAAATCCTACTTCCTAAATATTCCCCCCAAATCACCCAGCCAAAGCCCAAATCCTCTAATAAGTCCTTTCTAACATCCTCTTATTGAGATGAAATAAGAGGAATCCAGGAATCCAGGTGTGCATTCTCTTCTGTAAGGAGTAGTAAGTTCAACTTGTGTAACTGCAAGTGAGCCCCTGTGGTCTTTGGCTTGAGGATACTGACAGAAGGAAAGTAGCATTTGTTGCTTCTTCCAGCCAGATTGTGTCTCCTTGATATCTCATTTCATAATTACAGTGGCCCTGCAGGATAGATAACAAAATTAGCATTTTATAGATGAGGAAAAAGAGGATTAGAAAGGTATTTATTCAAGGTCACCTACTTAGAAAATGAATGCAAGAGCTGGGATGTGAATGCAGATTTTTCTGGCTTCAAGAGGCCATGCGTTTTTTACTGGGCTGGCTGCCTTCTACTTTCAAAAAGTGAGATTAGCTCAGAGATGTCATAGAGACAACCATGACTCTTAACTGATTATTGGTTTAAAATAGTAAGAGTTCTTTTTCTCCCCCCTTCCGCCTGGAGATTTATTTTGGAAACAAATGGACTTTTTATTAGAAGGTAAAAATAAACTTTTAGACCTGGAAAGAAACTGTTTTGTGACAGCATTTTAGAGTTTTAAAAATATTTTATCTTGAGTGCTCTTCGAAAAGGAAGCACATTTCTTTGTCTCCCACTAGATTAGCACCTGTAGGAGGAGAATCTGTCAGACCTTCCCTTCCCACCTGGATCCCTTTGGTGGTTCTCCATGGAGGCTTACAAATACTTTCAGGATCTCTGTGAGCCTCCTATTTGAGCAGGAATGTGTACCCCAAGTTCCACCCACAAAAGAGACTTGCTGTTCCTTCAGAGCATCTCATTTTATTCCTTTATGCCTTTACACATGTTCTTGCTTAAACCTGGACTACCTTCTCTTCCTAGTAAACATCAGCTCTCCCTTAAATACCTTCTCAAATGGCCTGTCCTGGAAGACAGCTCTGTGTCCTAGCTGTCCCTCTTAGTAATGGCTATCTGCCTTCTGTTCCTAGTGCTGGCGTCCGCATCTCTGCTGAGGTCCTCAGTGTGGTATTTTGTAGTAGTGTGGTTTTTGTTTGATGTAGTCTTGTTTCTCCTGTTGTCCTAAGAGTTCCTTGATGTCAAGAACTCTTTATTTTTTACGTTCTTGTGCCAGTGCCTAAAACCAAGCATGCTTAGTATATGTTTGTTGAATGAATAAATTAGGTAATTTACTTAAGATGAATATTTTTTGGGAGAGATAGTCCTCACAATTAGAACTATAGGTAAGGATGTGGTGGTTCCACATGGAACCACAGGGATGCCATTCACTTTTTTTTGGGAATGGTGCCCCTGGAGTTGGGCAGTACACAGTCTACATAATCATTAGTAGTTATCCTAGGTGAAGGTAACCACACTTTTAAAAGTGTGACCCAAGGCCCAGCCAGTGTGGCTCAGTGGTTGAGTGTTGACCAATGAACCAGGAGGTCACAGTTTGATTCCCAGTCAGGGCACATGCCTGGATTGTGGGCTCTATCCCCAGTAGGGGGCACACAGAAGGCAGCCGATCAATGATTCTCTCTCATCATTGATGTTTCTATCTCTCTCTCTCCCTCTCCCTTCCTCTCTCTGAAATCAATAAAAACATATTTTAAAAATATTTAAAAGTGTGACCCAGGGTGAACTTCTTACTCCCCCTTCTTTTACCTACATTTCTTTACCTCTGAAATGGGCTGATGCCGTAGGTAGTAAAGCAACCAAGTAAAACTAAGACAACTGCTAAACTTTCCTATAGGTAGGAATCATAGTGTCCAAAAATCAAAAAGGAACTTTGAGTCTCAGTGAAACACTGAGTATGTGATCAGAGTTTGTTAAGAACCCTAGAAGTACAGTGTGTTTTGTTGGTCTCTCTTGTGTTTTTTTAAAATTCAAAATAATATTAAGGAAGCCTGAAAGAAAATATCAAAGAGAAAACAATTACCCCAGATTCTACTAAGTGCTGTTCTTCCCCTTAACCCCTCTAGCCTTGGACCACTCGCACACTGACACATTTTATGTGGTTTTACTAGAGAATGCACATTCAACTTTATGTTCTATGTTCTATTTCTTTTCACATGTTGTTCAGATGGCTTACAGCACTTACTTTAAAGCATTGTATAAAAATCTACTGAGTTACTTAGACCTTTTGAAGTGTAAGAAGTCTAGAATTCCTGCAGTGGGATGTTGATCAGAGCAGTCTCTTTCATGTGATAAGATTTCCCTCTGTGGGAACTTGACTTTGATTATCTACTGAAGATGCTTAAAAGTGCAGTTTTCACATCTGTGTCATAAAAGGGTTTTCCTGAAGGGGCATTTACATTCTTAGTGGGATGATGAGGGAGGGAACCTGCAGACCAAGCTGCACCTGGACACATGCTGAAATGATATTCTGTGTCTGCCACACGAGCAGGGCCTTGGCTGTAGGGTAACTGTGTGTTTTATCCACAGAACCTGTGGACAAAGTGGCTGCCCTGCGGGAGTTCCGGGTGCTACACACCGCCTTGCACAGCAGCTCCTCCTACAGGGAGGCGGTGAGTTTGTGCTGCAGCCCCGTGCCTGAGACTCTTCCCAGGCCTGTAAGAGAGAGTGTGAACACTGGAGAGTGGTATAGAGTGGGAGCTGGGAGCCCGTTGCCATGGCTATGAAGAGTTCCTTGAGGAGTTTTTGCCATGTCTGTGGGTCTCAGTAGAGCCCTCTCTGTCTTCCCCCAAAGAGCCTATATCAGCTAGGTATTATTGATTTCCATCTAATGATAATGATACAACCTTTCCTGATATTGGCCTCACAGAATGAATATGATTACAGCCGAAGGATCTGCAGATGGTTTCTGCTGGGCCTCATTCTTGGAATTTGGCTGAACTGCCTGCCCACTGCTCCTTACCTGGATTTCCTCACTGGGAAATACACTGATGTCTTTCTATAGGAGAGTTGATAAGCAAAATTAATACAGCTGCAAACTTCCCAATATATATGAATATGAAATGATAATTCTACAGAGGTTAAAAAGAACTTGGGACCTAAAGAAACCTTCATTATTGGCTTGTAACGAGAGCTTTTATTTTGGAAGCTTTAGAAGTATAGATGGGGGAAGGTCTAGAGATGGAAGGTTTACTGTGATAAACCTTTTAAAATTGTTTCCCCTCCAGTAAGCCATGATCTCAGAGAAGGAAGAAGTTCATCTGTGTTTTGGGGCTGTTGTTTTATTGTGGTAGTGTATGTGTAGCACTTAGAGGGAGGAAGTACTTCAGCAGTGTGGGAATTTGCTGAGTGGATTGAGCTAGTTGGAGTACTCAGCCCTCCCCATTTCTCCTGCAGGTCTTTAAGATGCTCAGCAATAAGGAATCTTTGGATCAGATCATTGTGGCTACCCCAGGCCTCAGCAGTGATCCCATTGCTCTTGGTAAGTACAGAACTGAACTTGAGGAAATAGGAGTTGTTGGAGAAGCAGAAACCAGAAGAAGGCAATCACCCTAAAGAGACTGACCATCCTTTGAAGAATCATTGGTCTTGTGGGAGGAGGGGAAAACCAAGATGTGTTCCATATACCTAGCCCTCCAAGAGCTGTTAGCCCTTCAGAGAAATCATGGCCTAACTAACATCATAAACGAGACTATAAGGATGTCAGGTGAGGGCAGCAGTTAGCCCAAACCACAGTAATCAGGGAAGACTTCCTACATACCTTGATGGATAAGGGGAAAAGAGATTTGGGGAAAAGAGGCTGCCGTGTTGGCACACAGTATATGACTTAAGTGCAGGGAGGGTGGCAAGCAGGGAACAAGATGGGGAGCACTCATGTGCTGCTTGGTGCTTTGTTTCTTCTACTTCTTACATGGGGTGCTTTGTGGTCATGTGTCCCTGTTGAGCCAGTTGCTCTGAAGCCCAACACCTCTACTTCTCCTGGATCTGGTTAGGTTTCAGTCTCTGAGGTGAGTCCTGTTGTCCTTAGGGGTTCTCCAGGACAAGGACCTTTTCTCTGTCTTTGCTGATCCCAACATGCTTGATACGTAAGTATACACATCTTACTAAAGAGTTGCATGTTTCTCCTCGTATGGTTGGGCCAGAGACTAATTGTTGCTCTGGATTCTGCTCTTGGAGCCCAGTCCCTGTATACCCTTAAGTTCACCTTCTAAATATGTCAGGAGGTGAGAACTAGCAGGAGTGCTGTGTGGGAATAACAAGACCAAGGGCAGGAACACTATTGCTTTGGAGGTGAAGCAGGGCCTGAGGCCTTGGGGCCAGGCTCAGTTTAGCTCTTTTTCAATAGCTGTGAAGGATTCTTTGTAGCATGTGAAGCTGGGAAAGGAAGCAGATGCATAGATCTTTTTTGTTTTAGAGCCGGAAGGGACAGCAGAGGTTATGTCTCTTAGTTTGCAAGTCAAGAAAACAGCTCCTTGCCCCGCCCACGCCCCCAAGGGAAGAGTAGGGACCTGTCAAAGATAGCTCAGGGAAGTAGTGATAGAGTTGAGACCAGAGACTGACTCCTGAGCCTCCCAGGCTGTCCTGTTATGCCCAAGGGAAGGTGAGACATCTACAATGGATCCCAGGACTGAAGGCCTTGCCACTGTTGCTAGGGGCCGAGCAGAAGAGGACAGAGTGAACTGGGAGGAGGTGCTGAAGACGGAGGAATTTAAGGACAGGCACAGGTGGCTTGATAGTTCTGAGGGCCACCCAGACTTTTGTCATGGCGAGGGTGCCCTTTTTATTCACATTTGGGCTTCTTCATGCCCCTCTTCCAGGTTGATACCTGCTCACCCAGCCCTAGTCAATGCCATTGTCCTGGTTCTGCACTCAGTGGCAGGCAGCACGCCACTACCGGGGGCGGACTCCTCTTCCCGGAGCACGCCCTCCAGCTCTTACCGGGACATGCCAGGTAAGTCTCAGGAAAGTGTCATGCAGGCCCCCTCGGGAACCGGCAGTGGCCCAGGAAAATGCTTTACTCAGCAGCTATGTATAGCACTGGCAGAGGGTGTTCCTCGGGAATTCTCAGTTTGAGTCAGGGAGTGCATCTGTCCTGTAATTTTCCAAGGAGAAAGATGAAAATATGAATTTGGAGAGTATCTGAGCTGAGATTCTGGAGCTGCGCTTGTGCCTTTCTGTTCTTCCTCCTGAGATCTGTTCTCCCTCCTCCAGGTGGCTTCCTGTTTGAAGGGCTCTCTGATGATGAGGATGACTTTCACCCAGTAAGTGTCCTGGCTGCCTGTTCTTTGGGGAATGTGGTGCCAGGGATGCCCTCCTCCCTGGGACCTGGAGCCCAAGCTGTGAGGTGGTCATAGGCCTTTAGTGGCCAAGTCTATGTCATACTATTGCTTTCTGAACCTGGCAGCGGGGGGTTGAGGGGTTGTCTGGGATTGTCACAGGGCCACTTTGCTAATTCTGGGTGCCTCCCTTCTCCAGAGGGCCAGGTCCACACCCTCTAGCAGCACACCCAGCTCCCGCCCAGCCTCCCTGGGGTACAGTGGAGCTGCTGGACCCCGGCCCATCACCCAGAGTGAGCTGGCCACTGCCCTGGCCCTGGCCAGTACTCCAGAAAGCAGCTCTCACACGCCAACTCCTGGCACCCAGGTATGGAGAGAGGGCGGGAAGATGGAGGCCGGGCCCCCAGGAGAGATGCTCCCCAACAGTAGAATGGATTTGCCCTTGCTGACCCTGGTGCTAGATCTGATTTGAGCTGAACTCTGCCTGGACCCCCGCAGATTTCTCACTGTGAGACCTTCTTCTCACTTGCCTTTAGGGCTCAAACGACCAGGGTGTAGCACAGTCCTGATTGATTCCTCCTCTTAGGAGTTCAGCAGAACCTCCCCTCACATAAAGTGTGCTTCCCCATTCCTGACATCCCTGACGAGGCCCAGCCTGAAATGGCTTAAGACTCCTAGTGGTAGTTACTGCAGCTTCCAGTACTAGGGTCCAAGGCTAGGCCGGGGGCTCGATTCCATTTCTCTAGAGCGGAAAAGAATGGAGCCCTTCCTGTCCACCTAATGAGCTTTTAGGTACCTCTGTGTGGTTATTTCATGCAGGCCCCTGTTGGGAGGCAGTAGTTGAGCACCCCGGGAGCACCGTGAGGTGATGTGACAGCAGTGGGTATGTGTGGGAGACTGAGGTGGCTCTGAGGGTGGCCTTGACTACTGGTTTGTCTCTAGGGCCATTCCTCAGGGACCTCGCCAATGTCCAGTGTCCAGTCAGGGACGCCCATCACCAATGATCTCTTCAGCCAAGCCCTACAGCATGCCCTGCAGGCCTCTGGGCAGCCCAGCCTTCAGGTCAGTCTTCCCCGCTCCTGGTATCCATGCGGCTTTTCTGGTTACTTTGGATACTGAGCTTTTTTCTGCTCTCTGGAGGGCCTCCCCACTTGGCATGCTTCACTCCAGGAACAGCCCGGGCATGGCGGTGTAACAGGAGGATACTCCCAGCAGGGGCAGTCGTCCCTGTGACTTCCATTCCTGCACCCAGTGACCATGGCCTGACTCCACTGACCACCTGGCTTGGATACTTATGGCAGTTTTGGTCAATTCATTCATTCTGTGAGCATTGTCTGAGCACTGAGCATGTAAATACTGAGCCTGGACCTGGATCCTGTACCTGGTGTAGAGATGAGCCGCCCTCATTCCTGCCACAGAGGGGCATCAGGCAGTTAGTTACTGAACTTGGGGAGTAACAGAGCAAGAAGCCCACCCCAGGCTTGAGGTGATGGCCTAGGTCAGGCAAAACTTTTCTGAGAAAGGGGTGTTTGAGCTGATTGTCAAAGAATAGTGAGAGGTTAGCCAGGCAGGGAAGGGGGTGTTTGGGGTGGAGGATGGTGTCCAGGCATGTGTGGAGAGACATGTGACAAACTCAGAACTACAAGGCCTGAGGCAGTTTCCTCTTGGAGAACATCCTGAGATGTGGAGCCAGAGTAAAGGAGAGCTGGCGCCTGCCTGAGTGTAAGGACCAGAGTGCCTGGGTAAGGTGATTAGGCTTGATCCAGTAATCACTAAGGAGCCGTGGGAGGTTTTAAGCAGGGAGTGACACCATCTGCTCTGCTTCATGGCATGGTCACCTTAGCAGCTAAGTGGAAGACCCAAGGGATCGGGTTTTATTGCATGTCTTTGAGCACAGCTGTCTGCTTCATTCTGTTCTCTTTGCTGCTCTCAGTAAGTGTGGGGGTGAGCATCATTTCTGGAACTTGTCAGGGTCAATAAGCCAGGAAGTGTTAGAGACCGGGTTCAAGCCCTGTGGTTTTGTCTACCCCATGTGGCCCAGGTGGACAATGAGGGGAATGGGAGCAGGACCTGTGGACAGCTTGTCCTTTCCATTTCTTCATCCTCCGCAGCTAGAGGCCTGTTCACCTTGCTCTCCAGCTCAAGAGCTTTCAGTGGTTCCATCAGGCCTGCAACCTGAGTCAGAGTTGTTTTGTGCGGGTTTTTAAAAAGGTCTCCACACCTTCCCCCTCCTGCCTGCATGAATTTGCATTCCTTCCCTACTGCCTTCTCCTGCCCACAGTGTGAACACATCATTTTCCCTAAGTTGTGCACTTACCTCTTTCATGAGGTAGAGATATTAATGAAGCTTTGAAAGTACTGAAAGAAAATGTGAGTTAATTTCTTTAAACCCTTACTTTTGAGAAGACCTTCATAACTGAAAGTCAAAATCCAGGAGCCATTATATAAAGAGTAATACATTTTGAGTTTGTTAAAGTGAAAATTTATGCATAGCAATCCTAACCAAACAAATAGAAAAACAGGCAGCCCGGCCAGGCGTGGTTCAGCGGTTGAGTGTCGACCTAGGATCCAGGCGATCAGGGTTCGATTTCCGGTCAGGGCACATGCCCGGGTTGCGGGCTTGATCAATGACTCTCTCATCATTGATGTTTCTGTCTCTCTCTCTCTCTGTCTCCTTTCCTCTCTCTGAAATCAATAATGATATTTTTTAAAAAAAAAAAAGAAAAAAGAAAAACAGGCAGAGTTGAATGCTAACATCAAATTGGGGAAAAATCTGTAACACATACCAGACAACAGGAAACCTCCCCGGTACATAGTTGTTCCAGTAAATTAGTACCAAGAACTACATAGAAAAAAGGGGAGAGGTCATGAACGGACTTCATGGAAGTACAGTACAGATGACCCCTAAGCCATGTAATTTCTCGCAGTCTCATTTCTCAGAGTTTATCCTGGAGATGTGTATGCATGAAGAAAGTGACATTTGTACAGAGTCAGTCACTGCAGTGTCGTTTATGTCTGTTTATACATATAGTAGGAGAAAGAAAGTAATCTTTTGAACTTTAGACATTGAGTAGTTTGTGCTTTTGATCCTTATGTTAAAATTTCCCCTTTTTTATTGGATAAATTTTTAATTTGTTCTCTGAATCCTCAGCCTCTCTTGTCTTATTAGAAACCCTATGTGCTATGGAACTTCAAATCAGCAGGTTCACAGTAGGAACCCTCCCTTTTCTCTCCTCTCAAGGGATAGACGTGCTTGAAGTCACTGTAGGATCCCAACTAACAGCTTTTCCCTGGTCCTGTCTTTCTGCAGAGCCAGTGGCAGCCCCAGCTGCAGCAGCTGCGTGACATGGGAATTCAGGACGATGAGCTGAGCCTGCGGGCCCTGCAGGCCACTGGGGGGGACATCCAAGCAGCTCTGGAGCTCATCTTTGCCGGAGGAGCCCCATGAACTCCCTGCTCTTCCTGAACCCCCAACAAACTGCCAAGGTGGCTGCCTGTGGGAGGCACTCCTGGAGGTGCCCCATCTCTCCTCTCCTCAATACACCTGATGGTTGACCTTCGCTTTGTCCAGTGCTTAGCCATTCTTGCTGATCCATGCTGGTGGAGGCAGTGGGGCAAGCATGGTGTGTAGATCTTGATGTTGTGATATCATGGAGTACAGCTGGCCCCTGCTTCTGGGCCCTGGGTGGGCAATTTTAGTCCCATGTCTTGGGATGCTGTGCGATGCCCACATTCTCTTTCGGGAGAAGTTTTCAGTGATAGTCCCCAGACTCTTTGGTACTCTGGGATGCAGCATCCTCAGGATGTGCCTAAGGCTGGAGCAAGGCTGCTGCCCAGTCTCCAGAGTGTCTGCTGTGTTACTGCTATCGCCAGAAAAGGTTTGTGCTTTTGAGATGACGACAGTTTCAGCAGGGGCCAGGTGCACTTTCAGAGGAGCAGGTAGGGGCAGCTTAACCTCCACAGTAATTCCTCTCCTAGAGGCTTCCAAAAGATTCCTTGTCCCTCCCCCAGCCTAGTCTCACCAGGCATTCTTTGACGCTATTCTCTAGTGATGCCAGAATCCAGGCCTAAGCTGTGCCAGGAGGCAAGGCCCTCTTCTCTGTCCTGAAGGCATAAATACAAGAGCAGTTAAATAACAGTATTAAACAGCACCACCAACAGGCACAGGTCTCAGGTTTCATATTGAAGAGAGGGCACCAACACTGAGGTGCTGTTCCATCTGTCTGAGCTTTCCCCTTGGCACGGCATTCCTTGCTGCACTCCAGACATGTCCAAGTGGAAAGAGTGGGTTTCATGTGCTTTGACTACTTTGTCAGGAGAAAAATTCTTCCCGTCAGATTGTGTTTCAGTAGGAAGTTACTCAGAGGTCTGCCCTTGCCCTGTGCCTTTGGCAGGTGTTCGTTCCATTCATAGCATCACAGTCATGGTCATTGACTTCTGCTTGTCACCTGGGACAAAAGGTTTGCCACTTATAAGGACTGCTTCCTCTGCCCTTCGTTTCCCAGCCTTTACCCCTTTCTGCCCCGAGGGAGCACACAGGGCAAGCCTGTTCCCTCTGCTTCACTAGCACTGCTTCAGTTAAGGAGACTGTGATTCACTTGCTCCTTGACCTCCAGTTTTGGTCCCCTCAGAACAGCATATCTTGTTCTCTCTGGATGACCTCCAGCTTATCAGTGATACTCCTAAAGGGAGATACTCAGGAGGACCCACTATTCCAGAAATAGCCTGAACAGCACAGTGTGCTTTCCTTTCTCCAGAAAATGTGAAGTCTCTCCACATTTCCCTCAATCCTAGAATTAATGTTGAGAGGTGTTTGCATTGGCTGAGAAGACAGACTGAACTCACCAAGGGCCAAGCCCGTTTGTGCCTCAGTGGGCTGTCTAGAGCCCAACAACCTCTTGTGGTTGGGACAAAGACCAGGAAACCCTGTCTTTGAACCCAATATCTCTGGCTTGTTTGTGGTAGAAATGGGCCAGTTCCATCCTCATGGGCTTGCCTTAGCCAAATGGGGCTGACACAGCCCTTCTTGTCCCCCTAGAGGTGGTTTCCTTTCTGCCACATCTCGCCCGCTGCTCCCAGGGACTGCCTTCAAAGACACTGGAGCTCAGTAACTCCCTGCCTTTTATGCTGTGGAACATTTGAGTAACCCTGCCCTATCCTTGGGACCAACCTCCAAATACCAGTTATACTGCTTCCCAGAATTGAGCCATCCCCACAATTTCTCTTTCCCTTCTTTGTCAGCTCTTTCCTCCAGGGTCTTGGCAAGTTGGCATTGCTTCCTGTGGCAGGAAGCATTACGTATGTATTACACATGGTTAGCCTGATAAGTGCCTCTACTGAGCCTGGGTTTTCCATGCGCCAAGGACTCCTTCCTTACTATTGTCCCCTTCACCCTTTCAACAAACATTCAGCCTCTATTTTGTGCCAAGTGAAAAAGGATCATCTGATCCTTGCTCTCCCAGAAGCAGGTCATTGGTAAGAGAGACAAAGTTTATGCTAACATCTGATGAGACCCGGGCCAGGCTGGTCCAGCAGGCATGGGACTCGTAGATAGGGGAGCTAACTTGGGTTAGGGTTAGGGGCTGTGTGTGTGTGAGGGAGAGTTTCTTGGAGAAAGCGACATCTAAGCTGAGACCTGAAGGATGAGGAGGAATTGAGCAGGAAGGTGTACATGCTGAGTGGGCTGGATGTGGGGAGAACACAGCTCCTGTAGCCCTGTGTGTGAGGGTGGGTTGTGAAGTAGAGATCATTTTAAGCCATGCAAGCAGTTTGGACTTACCCTAAGGACAGTGGGGAGTCACAAGACAATTTGAGAGAGTCAGGTTTGCATGTTAGAAAGGATATTGGCTGCTGTGTGTGAACAGATGGGGAGTGGGCCAAGCTTGAGGGAGGGGGACCAGTGGGGAAGTTGTGGTCCACTTAGAACTGATGGTGGGCTGACCTGGCAGTTGGGGAGGAGAGGAGAGTTGTGGGTGGGAAGAGACTAGGAATTGGTAATATCACATCTTGAGAAAGCTAAGTAGTATTACTATCTCTACTTGTTGGATTGGAAAGGACACTGAGGTTAAGAGGTAAGATCATCTGTCCATAATCTCATGGTTAGGCAGTGGACAAGTTGTCCTTAGAAACTCAGGTCTGCCTTATACCAAAGCTGGCATCCTTCCCACTGCAGCCTGTAGCTTCTGAGTGTGGAGGAGTAGGAGATGGTGCAGGGTCTGATCAGGCTGAGAATCTTGGGCTTAGTCTTGAGGGCAAAGAGCACCCTGTGGATAGCTTTAGGCAGGGCAGTGGGGGACCAGAAGTGTGTATGAGACAATCTGACAGCTGCATGGAGGCTGGATTTGTGGGAAGTAAGGCTGGGATTGGGAGACCAGCTAGGAGGCTTGCTGCCACCAGATGGAACATGGTAGAGCCTGAACTAGAGCTGTAGCAGGGGGAGCTGGGATGAGAAGAGGAATGTGAGACGTGAAAGACAGACTGGGTGGAAGGAGAGGGAGGAGGCAGGCAGGATGTGAATGTGTAGGTGGGTGGTGCAACAAGAACAAGGAACCGGGGTTAGAATTCGGAATGCAAGTCCAGTTTTGGACATGTTGAGCTTGAGGTGCTATGGGACAGCCATGTGGGATGTCATAGACAGTTGGATGTTTCTAGGGAGGAGATAATGATCAGGAAGTTTTAAGTTGAAGATTGGGCCTGTGTCATTCAAGAGAATTCAGCTTTTCAGGCAAAGGGAGAAGGCGCACCCACTTTATAGGAAATGGTGACTGATGGACATGGAACATGTAAGGGAGTGGGATCTGCTGCTTCTGGAAAGGCAAGAGCAGGAGTCATTTGAGCTGATGAAGTGGAAGGATCTGGACAGAGAAGGCTTGTTCAGTGGTGTGAGACCACTGAGAAACCTAGTAACAATGGCTAACCTTGGACTTGCTGACTTGAGCCATGGTGACCTTGGGGATATGCTACGGTGGAACCGGAGTCCAGTTGCAGGGGTTGAGGCCTGCACAGGTGGGGGCAGTGGAAGTAGGGAGGGCTGAGAACTCTAGTTGGTAGTCGAGGAGAGAGGGAGCTGAGAGCGAGCTTTTGTGGTTCAGCAGAGGTAAAGTTGGAATTGATCATGAGAACTTTTCTAAGAAGCTAAGGGGGGAGGGGAGAGGAAGAGACCCTGAAATAGAATATGCAAATATCCAGAGATGGGTGAATTTTCTGAACAGATCCCTTCTCCTGATATAACTCAAATTTGGCTGGGCTGGCACAGCTTGTTGGGCACATGGGCCCTGGTTCTGCTCCTCTTCTCAGCCCCATCTGGCCTGGGCCCCAGACCAAGCTTCCAGAGCCCTACCCTGAGGTGGCCCCATTGCCTGTGCCTTGGCAGTAAATGTTTGGTGAGGATGTGTGTGGTGGGGGTTATTTAGGCCTCCCTCTCTCTGTTTACCCCCTCTCGCCCTGGGCTGGGGTTAGGTCACTTTGGCTGTGCCCCTCGTTTCCCTGGACCTGTCCCTGTCTGGCTTCTGTAGGCTCTGCAGTTGCTGGTAACAGGACTCAGCTTCCTCTGCTTGAAATGCCTTCTGCAGAGACCCAGACACTGCCCTCCTCTACCTTGGCAAAAGTGGCTAACAGCATTGCAGTATAATAGTGCTCATTTATTAAGTACCCTCTGTGCCAGCCATTGAGCTAGGTGCTCACATATGCCATCTCAGTTGATCCTGAGAAGTAGATATTATCTCCATTTACAGATAAGTGCTTCCTGTTAACAGGACATGACTGTGCTGGGAAACTGGCCTTTCCAGAGCCTGGGTGGGATTGTATCAGCGCAATCCCATCAGTGTACCCACCTGGCCTTCTGCCTGGCTGGTGGTCCTGGTAGCCACTCAAAGGGGTGAAGGGTCTGCTCACCACTCATCCGTCCTGGAAGTGGCAGCTTGAATCTTGGAGGGGAATCAGGCTTCTAAGTCAAACCCACTGAGGTTATGATCTCTTCCACAGACACCCTAGCCTCTTAGGGCCTCAGTTGTGTCCTGTTTGAAAATTTCCTCAATTGGGATGACCATTTTTATATCAGAGATGCCAGACACTCAGAGCTGGACTGGTGAATGTTCTAGATGACTAACAGAGTCAGGATCCTGACAACAAAGCAACCCTAACATGTGACAAGGACAATCTACGGTCCTGTGATGGGGACTAGAAAACCAGTTGTTCTCATGGAGGATGGTGTCTCATTTCTTCTCCTGGGTTCAGATTCAAACTCAGTCTTTCTCACCTGGTGTCCCAGAAAGCCACTACTGGATGGGAATTGGCCCAAGGATGACCCTGGGCTAAGATCAACAGAATTTAACAACCTGGTGTCTCAGCTCAATATGGCAGTGCCTTTGGAGGGATTGTAATCAGGAGGGAAGAGGTCAGCCTTTCTAGCCCTCTTATTGCTCAGTTTTTCCTCTAGCTGTTGCATTCTGATCCAATACTAGATCTTTGAAGGAAGTGGACACAAACCAGGCTGCCTAGCACCTAGGAGGGTCTTGGTAGAAGTTTGTTAAATGATTGATATCCTAGGAATCAAGCAGGATTAGAGAGAACAAGCAAAGCCCCATGAGGGACCTACTTGGAACTGGGGTTATTTATGAAAAAGTAGATTTAGAAGAGTATGGCTTCTGTGTTGAAATCCCCAAACGGCTCTATTCCAGGAATAGAGATTAGACATGGTCTTTGTGGCCTTGGAGGACAGATTTAGGACTGCTGGGGGAAGGGGGTGTCTTCCTCTGGGGAGAAGGCTTTGTGTCAGAGCTAAACAAGATGGGCCAGATTGCCATGAGGGTGAGTTCATTGTCACTGGAGGTATGTAAGCAGCGGCTGCATGACCACCATAAAGGCTGCTGTAAGGGGCTCCCAGGTTGGACTGAATGACCTCTGAGAATTCTAATCTCAAGAATAGGGCTTCTTCGATCACCATATCCATGAAAGAAAGTGAATGTTTGTGGGAGACCATGTGGTTGCATGCATTTCTTTTCCTCCTCAGGTGGCCCCAGCAGGCCCAAGGATCACATCAGGGCTGGGAGGGTCTTGGGATACCTTCTATCCTGCAGGGATAGTTTTAAAGTATATTTATTTCAACCTACAAACCAGAAGGCAGTGCAGAAGATAGAAAACTTTGTGTATCTCTGGTCTAGATAAGAGATAGACCTGAAGAAGAACTGTTTTAGCTCCTCTTTCTCAGTTTTTAAATAAAGAAATGGAGGCCTGGGCAGGAGCAGGGCCTTGCTTAACTTGGGTCCGTGGCCAAGCTGGGACTTGTTTTTGGCCTCCCAGCCATATCTAGTCAGGAGACTTTGTTAGTCTAGATGGCTTCCACATGGCTCCCACGAGATCCTGCTGTGCCTCAGGCCTTGGGCCCTGAGAATGGAGGCTCTGAGATGGATTTAGGGCTGGAGGTGGGGGGGAGGGAGGAGTTTGTCTCCAGAAAGATTTGAGAGTATATACAAAGTTTATCTATCTACACTCTCTGCTAAGTTGCTGCTCTGTATGTTAGTGGCCACCAGGTGGCGCACGTGCCGCAATCTCAATGCCCTGTAGGCTGGAACGGTAGCAACTGCCCTGTAGACAAAGCCTGTGCCCTGTCACGGCTCCCACCCCCACCAGAGTTGCCGTTGGTAGTAGTAGCCAGAAGGTCTGGGTGGGCATCGAACTCTGAGGCTTTGTAGCCTGGATGGATCTAGCATGAAGGGCTGTTGTGGGCTTGGGTTCCTTATACCTCCATCCTTAACCTCCCACAGGCCTCTTGTTAGGGTTGGGTTACTCCTTTGAAGACCAAGTGTAGCCATGGAGTCAGGGCTGAGGAGGGTGTCAGAGGAAGCTTGGATAGTGGAAGAATGCTTTGAGTAGGACTCTGAAAGGCTTTGCTTGGAAGGCTGCCTCTGCTGCTTTGAGCTTGTGGACCTCAGGGATGTATGTGTCCATTTCTCTGATTTCCCAAGGAGCCTTATTGGATTTGGCTCTGCCTTAGCTGCCATACAGGGAGTAGCCCATCACGGTATTTTTCTCCTAGATAGGAGTCCCCATATCATTGCTTTCTCTTGGCCTCTTCCCTCCAATCCCCCATATTTGGAGTTATGGGGAAGAGGACAGGAGTGTGCCTCCCCTTCAGACCTGTCAGCATCCACATCTGTTGCTTCCTTTGCTGGTCCATTGCCCATTGTTGTCTGGGAGTGGGGATTGTGCCCTGTCGTTGTTTAAGGCCCAGGAGCCAGCCGTGGCTGCCAATGAGGCAGGCAGGTTCCTGTCACCACCTCCTCAGGCAGGGAGGCCACACACAAACACTGGTCCTGTCCTCCCTCCACCTCATAGAGGGGTACCTGCTCTCCTCTATGCCCATAGTCTAGCTGCCCTCTCTTGTGGGTCTGGTTCTTACCTCCCCTGGCTGCCTGTAGTCAAGTAGGAGTAGGCTGCCATCTGGCTCTGGCCCTTTGCCCCTAGACTGGCTGGCTCAGGGATGCCCACTGGTGGTGAAGCAGATGCTGAGCTGGCCATGGAGGAACCCAGCCAGAGGCCTACCCTGGGACATGGGGTGGGATGGTCTTTAGCACTATCCCCTCACCCCTACCCCAGCCTGGGGGGAAAAAAGTGCCTGGCATCTGCCCCAGTTTCCATCTGCTGCCTTGTTGCTTGGAAGGCTGAGCTTAGACCCTGGCCTACCCTCCTGCCCAGCACCCGGTAACCTGGGCCCTGTCCCAGTCTTTCGGAGGATCATTTGGATCCAGAATCCAGTCTAACACAGGTGGCAGCAGCAGCAAAAGGGGACATTGCATTAAGAGCATTATGATGTAGAAGGTAAGGGTATAGGCTCCAGAGACACTACCTGAGTGTTAATCTCAACCCTTCTCTAACTAACTGTGACCTTGGGGACATCACATTCCCTCTCTGTTCCCTGGTTTCCTTGTTTGCATAAGGAGCCAAATACTAGCATCCACCTCAAAAGATTCTAAAGGTGAAATAAGTTTAAAATGAGGCTAAGAAACGTGCACAGAACATAGTAACCTTAGTCTTAGCTATTGCCATTAGAGTCAGAAAACCCAGGTTTCCATCTTGGCTCCACTAGCTGACCTTGAGTAGATCCCTCCTTCTCTGTGCCTCAGTTTCCTTCTCTAACATGGGGTTATGCTTTCTCACTGAGGGGGAGAATGTAGGACTACAGGGGGAATGTAGGTGGAAGTGGGTTGTGTGTTGTGAGTTGCTGTGCACATGAGTAGTGTTATCATTAATTCTGAATTCTCAGTTCTTAAAGGCAGGGGCAGGCAATTTCTTAATTTGCTTATGTTTGCAGAGAGGGCACATATGGGGCCATAAAGCTCAGCAGATGAGGCCCTAGGCCGGAAACAGTGTCAGTCTTGGAGGCTAGCCTGTGCAGCACACGCCACAGGTGTGGGTGCAGGCCTGGGGAGGGACTCTTGAATTATCCACAGCCTCCCTCTCTTTGGGGCAGTATACCTCTGGACATTATGAAGCTGTTGGCCCCACTCAGTCTACCAGGAACCTAGCCCTGCACTGTCTCTGGTGGCATCTTGATTTACCCTTTTGGCCTATTGGGGTATCTTGGGACTCTTAGGGAAGACAGAGGGGATAGCTGGAAACAAAATTTGGAATGGTAAATCAAAACTTCCTGATAACAATACTTTCCTGGATGTACATCAGGTTAGAGGGCTGGGAGCTGAGACTGGACCAGAGCAGCCTGCTTCCTGTCTTAGCTAGTGTCTCCAGTGTATAAATCAAGTCCAGCTAAGTGTGTGGGTCCTGGAGGCTCACATGCATCTTTGCTACCTCCTCCTCACCCTGTGTCCTTTCAGTGCAGTCCACCTGGGGAGAGACATCTCTTAAGCCCTGGATAAGTGGATTTCCCATCCATGGCTCCTTCAGGCACAAGCCAAGGTGGAATGTCTGGCCCTCTTTAGGCAGAGCTGATGGGAGAACTGCCTGGGCTGCTCAGGTGACTGCAGAGGGACAGGAACTGGGCCTGGACCTTGCAGGGGATCACCAGGTTGTCTTCAGTAGCTCAGCCCTATGTAGCTGGTAAGCAGAGATCCCCTAGAGCTTGTCTGACTCTTCCTCCTCACAGTGAGTCCTAAGCATTCATGATGCTCCCTCTCTTCCTGCTTGGGTAAGGGGCCTTGTTGATTATATCCCCCTGCACTCACATGGAAATTAGTTTGGATTTTCTGAGCACACACCAGCTGGCTGCGGGGAGGCAGCCCAGAAGGCTGCTGGTTTGGGAAGGGAGAGAGAGGGAAGGGAAGGGAGGGAACCAGGCCAAGATGAAAATTCCACCTTTTCACAGCAGAGCAATGATGGGGTGCTGAGTGCTTCCCACAGTTCATCACCCTCTGCCATTCACCCACCTTAGGGGGAAGCATCTTGCTCCTGCTTATAGGCTCAGAGGGAGACGTCCACTCAGGCCAACCTACCCTCTGAGAGCCACAGCCTTCAGGGTCCAAACCACTGAGCTGGCCATTAGCGAGGTTGCCTGGTAAACTTGTCTGTACCTCAGGGAGGTCATCCCCAACTTCTATGCCAAATCTTTTCATTGGCTAGAGGGAGTGAATCTGAGGCCCTGAGAGGGAACAGGACTACCTTGAATCACGGAAGACCACAAGTCTGTCTTGTCTCGGTTGCCCGGGTTTTCCCGTGGAACGGCCAGAGAGGGGATGAGGAAGGTTCCCCTGGCGGTGGGCACTGCTTCCCGCTGGGGTAGCCGGAGGCGAGTAAGGCTGNCGGGGGAGGGGTGGGGTGGGGTCAGGCGTTTGACTCCGCCTCTTGGTGCTAGTATCAGCCAGTGCTCCGGTGCAGGCTCAGTCTCCACTGCTGGCTGCAGTCGCTCGCGGGCCGCGGGATGACACCGCCTCCGCCCGGATGCACCTCCCTCGGAGTCCTGCGCTACTGCATTCCTGGCCCGCTGCGGCTGCTACTGCTGCTGCTCTGGGCAGCGGCCGACACCCAAGGCCACCCGAGGAGCGGACCCCGAATCTCCACTGTCTGGAAAGGTAGGTGGCGCCGCGCGGCGGGTGGAGGGGGGATCCGATGCCTAGCGGGGTGGGTGCAGAGTGTGCCGGCAACGGAGGGAGTGCGTGCGCGAGGCTCTGCGGGTCTGGGCGCTCCTCTCAGAAAGCATGTGGGTCTGGATGAGTGCGCTCTGGCACACTGGAGCTGCTGGAACGCTGCGGGGCGCGGGCGGTGGGGCCGGAACCCCAGCTAAGTGGCTCCAAGTCCGCCAGGGCACAGAGGAAGGGAGCGGGCCCCTCTCTGCGCAGAGGCGCTCGTCGTCCTCCTGCTCCGGGCCTCTGTGCAAGACTCTCCAGCTGGGACCTCCACCCACGTTCTTCCTGAGCTGCGGGCTCCGCTGTCGCAAGGGGCTCAGGCTGGGCCAGAGAGGGGGGCGCGGACCCCTTGCTGCCACTGCTCCGCTCTGGCTGTGGGAACAAAGACCCCGCTGCCTGCCCCCGCCCCCGCCCAGGGCCCAGGGCCCAGGGCCCGGCCGGTAAAGGGGTGGGTACCCTGTCGTGTGCTGGGACTTGGTGCGGTGCGGAAGCTTGGGGCACCTAGGCGCTAGCTATCTCTGCAATGCCCGCACCAGCACCGGCCGATCCCCCCACCTCACCCTGGCCGCACGTGGCCGTTGTTACCAGGAATAGGCGGCAGTGTGGGGGGCACNGGGGGCTGCAGCTTTTAGACTGTGGTGGATGTGCAAGCTTGAAGGACCGGAATCTCCCTCTGGGGTGCCTTAGTTTAAAACCCTTATAAAATGGGTCAGAAAGCCGGCTAGGTGGGGTTTGAGGCTTTAACGGTGAGGCACTGAGCTCCCCTCCCCTGCATTGCACACAAATGTTTCCCACCCGCAGGACCAAATTTGGGTTCTGTCCCCAAATTTGGCGGTGCTGCAGCTGCCAGTGATGGAGGTGGACTCAGGGTGGGGGTTGGAGAACATGCCAGGTCTGGCCCTCACAGGGCCCTTTGATGCCTGAGGCGGTTTGCAGGGATTGCCAGAGCCTGAGCATTATCTGGGGCAGGTATTCTTAGCAGAGTGAGGGAACCCCCCCCCCCCCACACACACACACACACAAAACCAGTGGCCTGAACTGCAGCTGCAGTGGAGAGAATGTGACTTGCCCAAGGTCACTGGGCAACGTTTGAGCTCACAGTGCAGACAAGGGCTCTGATCTGGCACAGGACCAGTGCTAGCACTGCGTTAGGGAGGGGAAATGGATTTAGGCAACTTCTTGGCCATGAAGGAGGAACTCTGGGGGCCAGCTCTGTTACCCAGCCAGAAGTGTTCCTGCAGCAGGCAGGTGGACCTCCAGCCCAGGCTTCCTGAGAGGAGGATCCTCCTGGCCTTGCTGTAGTATAGGCCTAGGCCATCCCAGCATCTTTGCCTTGGGTCAGACCCTTGGCTCCCCTGGACAGCACAGCATTTGGGCCCTCTCAAGGGGATAAATGACATGTCTAAGTGTTCTAGCATCTCCCCCTGCTCCAAACCCCTGTATTCGGCTCTGCTTGCCTCCATTCCCCAAGACTTCCCAAGACCCCTCCGCCCACATATTTAATGCACACCTATTTCTTAGCACTTAATATGTACCTCCCCATCTTGGGCACTTAGTCTTTCCACCCTGAGGCTATTTGAAGCTGCTTTCAGTTCTTTTGCCCACTTTTCAAAGCTCCCAACCCAGCTCCACCTCTCTTTCCCCTGCACACACTTCACTGTAATAGCCACTCTGGCTGTGCCCTCTGCTTGGTAATATACTAATGTCCCCTGCTGCGGTCTTTCAACCCCTCACTTGTCAACCCCTAGAACAGGCAGCCTATAGTCTTCTTCATCAGTGCCAGGCACCCCACTGGCCAGGCTGACCCTGCCATCCGCTTGTTCCTCAGGACCACCAGCTGGTGATGGTATGCTTGGCTGACATCTGTCTTCTATTTCCTGTGGGGTGACACATGGACAGAAATGGGCTTGGGCAGGGCAAACCCAGAAGTGGGGTGAGAGGAGGATCCTCCTGGCCTTGCTGTAGTATAGGACTAGGTTCCTGTCTACCAGTGGGTAGGGGTAGCCTGCAGGAACAACCATATCAAGGATAATGGTGGTTCTGGAGCCACTTCTCTATGAGGCATAGGTTGGGGTTTTAGTTTTAAGCCAAGACAGGTGTGGGGACTGGAACAACTATGGAGGGCTCTTCTTTGTCACTTATTTTCTGCTTCATAGACCCCTACACCCTAGGGAAAGATTAAATTAGGGAGTTCTGGGAGGGCCCCAGCCTTCACTTGTCCAAGGTTGAGACCTCTCCAGCATATTGTGTTCTGGCCCAGCAGCTCTGGGCAGGGAGAGATGTGCCAGCACTAACCTGCTGGGTGCCCTTGAGCTCCACACCTGTCTCTGACCCTCAGAGCTCACCAGAGCAGGAAGGGCTGTGGAAGTTGTCCCGTGAGGGCTGTTATGGGCACATGAGCCTGTCAAAGATAGGACTGTTTGGACCTGACCTTCCTGCAAGCAGGCGCTGGAGAGGAATGGGTTGCAGGTGAAGGCAGGAGATTGGCATGCCTGTGGAAGCCCTGCACCCCTCTCTCATTTCATCCCCAGTTGGAGGAGATGGAGAAGCTCAGGAAGGACCTGACCCCCAAGGTCAGAGATAAACCAGACTGCCCCAAGGAGAAACAGAACCCAAGTCTTCAGTCTCTACCTGCCCAGCCGGTTCTGCCTCTCCCTTGTCCAATTAAACAACAGGATGTTATTGTTGATTTGGAGGCTGCTGGGGAAGCCATTATGGAGCTGCTCCCCAGGGCAGGGGTTGTTGTCACCTCCAAGGGATGAGGCCACAGCTGGGACTCCCTAAGTATCAGCATTTTCAGTGAAAATCCTTGCCCCTTTGGGGACTTAGATGTGCTCTTCACCTTCAGGGTGAACCTCCCTGCAGAACAGGGAGGGGTCAGTTCCCAGGAGAAGAGGGGGGATGTCCTAGGCTGGGAGAGATGAGAGAGATGCTCTGTGATGCCCCTAGGAACTTTCTGCCAAGCTCTGTGACCCCTCTGTCCTGAATAGTGAAGGTTCTGAGAGCAGGCTGGCATGGGCCCAACATAACCATGGTGTGAGGGAAAGAGATCCCAGCTCTGGCCTGATTTTCTGTGTGGTTCTGGGCAAGGGCTTGATTTTTTCTGAGCCTCAGTTTCCTCAAATGTGGGTAGAGGAAGGAGTTACACTTATCAGAGCACTAATCCCCTGGGATTCTTGCTTCTTTGGGATGAACAGAGGCTCTGGTGGCCCGTTCAGATCTTAGCTGTGAGGAGAAATTGAAACCTGGGAAGTCAAGGGAAATCCTTAAGTTTCATGTTCTTTTCTATCTTTTTCTCTCATGAGCTGAGGATCAGCTGGAGGAAGTGGCGTATTGGTTTGTGGCCTAAAAGGTAGACATAATATTTCAGCATTTTTGACATTTGACATTTGCTGGGGCCAACCTGTACTAGTTATGAGACTGTGCTTGGGGACCCAGGGATGAGAAACTAGACAAGTCCGTAGACTTCTCAGTGTAGACGGGGAAGCAGGCAGGTCAACTTGCAGTTACAATGAAATGTGTCAGAGGGCAGCTGTGGGAGGTACCTAACCCAGTATCGCCAATTAGGGAGGGCTTTCTGAAAGATGGTATGCCATAATGGCAGGTGGAGCAGGAGCCACCTGGGGGAGGGGAGGGACAGGAGGAAGCACCTGGTATGGCAGGATTTCTGACCCTAAAACTTACAACTAGGACCAGGAGAGGAGGAGGCAGTGGGTGGGAGACATTGAGTCAGCCTTGGCCTCCAGGTTTCGGGAAGGTTTCTTGCAGGAGGGGACATCTGAGCTCAGCCACCTGACCTTCCACAGCCAGCCCAGCAGTGGGGAGGAAGGACCATGGCTTTCAGGAAAGATCTCCCCAGTGTCACAGCTTCCTGATGGGAAGCTGGGGCTGGGACCTGGGAGACCAAGGCTTTTCCCTGGTCACCTGACTATGGGGGACAGTTGAGCCCTGTTCCTTGGTAGAGACTTTCCATGGAAGGGAGCCTTGGCACCAGCCTGGTCCTGCTGGGGGGGTAGGGGCAGATGCCCTTCCTCTGACGAGCTGCCCCTTCCAGGAACCTTCACTTCCTTAGTGGGGATAGATCACTCCTCAGGCTGAGAGAAACAGGGAGAGTTGGGCACCCTTCTATGAGGAGGGCCAGGCCAGAGCCCCCAGTATGCAGGTGGGAAGCAGAGGCTCAGCCCAGGGAATGGGGCCCAGTTACCTGGAGGGGACAGTGGTGGGAGTGGGTGGCCCTTGTGTTGATACCTGGGGCCCCAGCTGATATCCTGTCTTCCTCCCCCTGCCCCATGTCACTCATTTCAGCCACTGCAGGGCTTTCTAGCTGTGTCACAGGAGACTGACCACACTTCCCCTGCTTTAGTTGCCAATTCTGGGGCTAGACACTTCCCCTTCTCTTGGTTTCCTTTTTTGGCAAGGCCTGGCTGCCCCAGAAGTCTTCTGTCTCTCAGAACAGGGGAAGAAGGGATCCTTCTAGGGCATGGAGGAGTGTGGCCCCTGTTTGGCCCCCCCAAAATGGGCTTCCCCCTTCCCTAGCCAGCTCAAGCCATGAGGGACCAGGAGATCCATCCCCTCCCTGTCCCCTGTGGTATGAGGAAGGGGGTGGTTCTCCCCCTCCAGTCAGCCTCTACGTTCTTTTTTCCCCAGCCTTGGCCTGGGCCCTGGCCTCTGTGAGGCTCCTCTATCCTTCTGCGTCACTATGTTGAGAGTTCCTCCTGTGACACACAGAGACAGAGCTGCCACTTCTCCAGTCCTACATGATATCCTGGCGCCACTCCCACCTTATCTTCCACACTTCTTTCCTCAGTATTCACCAGTTCCCCACATTTTCCTGCCTCAGGGCTGTTACCCTACTGGTCAACCCTTCCTGCACACTGTTCACCCTCTAATTCCTCTCTGCCAGTGCTATCTCACTTCCTCCAAGGAGCCTTCTTGCATGACGTGAC